ACTTCTAAATAGAAGTAGCATTTTTTTTTGATGCTACATGTTTTAATTTGCTTCCTTAGCCTCTTAGAACTAATAGAACATTAAAATATAGATAGCAAAAATGAATTCAAAGGTTTCTGATTTACATCTGTTCCTGGAAGGGATGGATTCATGAAAAAAGCTCGCTTGTGCTTAACTCAAGTGATTCTCATTCAAAATGATGATGACTATATGATAAGGCGCTGGATTGTGAAGGTGTGATATTCAGTGAAAGGCTTGAAGGAGGAAAGCAGGACTCAGTAAGTCCATGTATGTCAAAGACATCACATGACAGTCCCGTAGTTTATGACCATACTTTAGCAATATATTTAAAATGTGGAAGTTGAGTCAAAATGATCTGAAGGTTGCTTACAGAACTCTTTAATGACTATTTACTGTGTCGGACACTGTAATGCAGAATAACAAAAACTTCCTGGAGCAGGAGTGATCTAAGTGTTGTAAACATTAGTCACCAAGACAGTATTCATCCACAAATTCCTGGAACACCACTAGGGACTCTAATTAAAAAGTATCACATAAAAAGGAGAAAAGAAACTATGACTAATTATTAATCTCCAGGACTAAGCTGATTAATTATGTGAAGAATAAAGGTCATTGTCAAAGCTAACTGAAAAGGTACAGCTTCTGTCAATATTTATTGGATTAGACTTTTCTGTTTTCTCTAAGCACTGGGCACTGCAGAATGCTGCAGCCTTATCTTCCTATTCACTGCTGGATCTACCGGGTATCTTCGTACCCTTTTAAAGCTCTATCTTACCATGTTTTAACCTTTATTCTAATACCAGCTCCATATGACAAATAGCCACCCCAGCCACTGACCATTGCACTGGGGGAAGGACAGTGCCGGTGATGTGTGTGGGAGATGTTGCTCGGCAGACAGATAACCTCTGCACTCCCCTTTTCCTATATTTGTTTAAAACACATGCAGTACCATGTAACACTTCAACACCAAAGCAAATTTCAGAAAATACAGACTGTTAGGAATAATCTTTAGGTTGAAAAACATATCCCTTGTTATTCCTTCTGCAACATTGTTTTAAGTGGAGTTAATACACACTGAGGCATCTCGCCTGTCACATTCAAATGAAGACAGTGTACTGTATACTAGTTATTTTTCTGTAGCACTATTTCTTGTAAAAACGATTTTTAAAAATAAGAAAACATAGCTGTGAGTTCACAGTATACCTTCGTAATATATAGATACTTGCGGCCTGTCCTGCATGTTCTGCCAATTCCTCTTTCCCGGTGAAGAACCCTTAATGATAACTTTCATTGTTAGTGTCACCACGAGTTTAGAATGTTTAAGAAATGCAGAATGAGTCATTGTTAGCAGCAAAACAATAATCTACATATAATGTGAATGAATTATGGTTTTTCAAAGAGTGTAAAGGTCAACTTTTACCTGTCTATTTTTACTGAGTGAAATTGTCCGCTTGCTACTGTTGATTTAATAAGGTCTATTAATAACGAAGAACTTTTCTGTAAGGAGAAAAGAAATAAATGTCAAAGGATTTTCAGTCTTCTTTTTAGATGGTGCACGAATTTATCCATTCACAAAATTACATTTTAAAACTGAGACATTTATTGACATAAAATATTGTCTTTTGTTTTTGATTTGTTTTTCGTTTACTAGCACATATATAGTAATTGAATTACATCTTTTGTTTAAACAAATCCCTTAGGAAAACTGATGTATCACAGTGGCAGGCTGTTATAATAGCTGTGAAGAAATCTGCCTTTCTGGGCAATTCCTTTGTAGTAAAATCACCTCTTAGCTTCTTCTGCAGCCTTTAATCTTTCCTTGGTCACAGGATAGCAGAGGAAAATGGCTCAGAAAAGGTAATTGGTTTTGCTAGGCTCTCTCAGCTGGAAGATGGAGGCTGCCACCCAGACTTTTCAGCCATGCAGAGTACAGGATACCAGCACTGCAGCCTGAGAGCAGCGTGGATGAACCCACCTCTGTCAGCTGTCGGTTGCCTTTGATGGGGACAGATTGGACCACATCCTGGCCCTGAATGACCATAGTGGAAGTTTACAGAGAGCAACGTGAACAAAAAGGCTCTAGTCCTTTCACAAGAGTCTGTGGCAGGTCATCAGAGCTGGGGTTGGAGCACAGCTCTGCCTGACCCTCCATGGGACCTTCTGTCCCACTGTGAAGAAGCGGCATCTCCATTCCCACGGGAGGGATGACCTGGAGAGCAGCAGCATTATATGTGTCCTGGAAGCAGACAGCCAGTCTGGTGAATAATTGAATCTTACTCCCTGCCTTGCGGTGGAAGACATTACTCATTCTTCTGTCACTTTGTTGTTACAAATTTGAACAGTTTCAGCTGACTTGGCTCCATTATCCAGTTAGCTCTTTTAATCATTTTCCATTGCCTTGTCAGTTGTCTCCAATAAAGCAAACAGAATTAGCACTTTTGCAATTCCTTCTTCATCATCTTCCTAAAATGCAGCTATTTTCACACTTGCCTTCACATTTTTAACATTCAGGCCTAAAGGTGGAAAGTGTCAAGTGCCACTGAATTAACCATTACAAGGCAATGTAAAACAGCTCACGTCTCAGACTAAACCTGGAGAGCTAAACTTTAATATAGTCTGAAATATGTGTAGAGTCAAAAATAGTGATAGAAACATCTAGTAAAGACTTTTCAAGACTTGATCTCATGCTGCTATGGATTGCAAAAGAGTAAATTCTTGCTGTGCTGATTTCCCCACAGTGGTCCCCCACAAGTAGATATTTGTCTTACTTGACTAATGTTTTATATAAACTAATTGGTTATTGCGTGTACCAAAAATATATTCCATGAAGCTTAATATATAAAGAAAGTAAATTGAAGCACTTCTGCTTCTCTTCAGCAGCATCGATCATTTTTGAAGGAATGTTCTTATAGTTTTTCCATGACAGTGCATTTTCTATCACACTATTTGGAGAAGGCTACACAAATTTCTGCATGTTTTGTTCCCTGGATTTGCTGACTGTGACTCTTCATCTGTGTATTCAGTCTGTAGTGGTTCAAATACTAAGGAAAAAATTACTCTGCTGTTACATTTATTGCCTTTCTGCTAAATGCTCAACCATCTTTATGGTTTTCTTCTACCAAAGTAAGCAATGAGATTAACCAGTGTTAGTACAGCAAAACCTGCACAGAAACTGTTTGCTCCTGGAGAAGTGGAATTCTTCCAGCCAAACAAATGATCATCTGGGATGCTAAGCTCTCTCCTGATGTGCTGGTTTATGGGTCAAAACTCTTAAACGGCTGTGAAACTCAAGCTCCTAAAAAAAAAAAAATTTGAAAAATGCATGTTTTTTCTTTTATATGCAAAATGCATGGATTTTGTCTTTATACATAGAATCATAGAATTGTCAGAGTTGGAAGGGACCTTAAAGACCACCTAGTTCCAACCCCCCACCATGGGCAGGGACATCCCCCACTAGATCAGGCTGCTCAGAGCCCCATCCAGCCTGGCCTTAAACATTTCCAGGGATGGGGCTTCCACCACCTCTCTGGGCAACCTGTTCCAGTGTCTCACCACCCTCATGGTGAAGAACTTCTTCCTAATGTCGAATCTGAATCGATCTGGGGTTGCCAGTTAGCTCCATCAGTTAGAGCATGGTGTTGATAAAACTAAGGCCACGGGTTCGATCCCCACTTGGTCCCCATGTGTTGCCTCATCTAGTTGAGAGGCTTCCCTGCCTGTGACAGGGAGGTTGGATTAAATGATCTCTGAGGTCCCTTCCAGCCCAGGCCATTCTATGATTCTATGATCCATCTCTAGATTTAATCCATTCCCTCTAGTCCTATCACTACCCAACATCCTAACAAGCCCTCACCAGTTTTCTTGTAGGCCCCCGTGAGATACTGGAAGCCACAATAAGGTCTCCTTGGAGCCTTCTTTTCTGCAGACTGAACAACTCCACCTCTCGCAGTCTGTCTTCATAGGAGAGGTGCTTCAGCCTTCTAATCATCCTCATGGCCCTTCTCTGGACACAGTCCAGCACATCCATATCTTTCTTGTCCTGTGGGCTCCAGAACTGGACGCAGTACTCCAGGTGGGGTCTCACAAGTGTGGAGTAGAGGGGGAGAATCACCTCCCTCGACCTGCTGGCCATGCACCTCTTGATGCAGCACAGGATACAATTGACTTTCTGGGCTGCAAGTGCACACTGACAGCTCATGTTGAGCTTCTTGTCCACCAGTACCCCCAAGTCCTTTTCTTCAGGGCTGCTCTCGAGCCAATCACTGCCCAGCCTATATTGGTGCTTGGGCTTGCCCAGACCCAGATGGGGACCTTGCACTTGGTCTTTTTGAACTACCTGAGGTTGGCCTGGATCCACCTCTCCAGCCTGTCAAGGTCCCTCTGGATGGCCTCCCTACCCTCCAGGGTGTCAGCTGCCCCACACAGCTTGGTGTTGTCAGCAAACTTGCTGAGGGTGCACTCAATGCCGCTGTCCATGTTGCTGACGAAGATGTTAAACAAGACTGATCCTTGAGGGGCTCCACTTTTAACTGTGCACCCTTAGCAAGTTTGCAGATGACACCAGGCTGGGTGGGAGTGTCGATCTGCTTGAGGGTGGGGAGGTTCTACAGAGGCATTTAAACAGGCTGGATTGCTGGGCCAAGGCGCATCATGAGTTTCAGTAAGGCTGAATGCCGGCTCCTGCTGCGCTACGGCCGCAACAACCCCCAGCAGTGCTACAGGCTTGGGGAGGAGTGGCTGAAGAACTCCAGGCAGAGAGAGACCTGAGGATGTTGACTGACAACTGGCTGAACATGAGCCAGCAGTGTGCCCAGGTGGCCGAGAAGGCCAATGGCATCCAGGCCTGGAACAAAAATAGTGTTACCAGCAGGAGCAGGGAGATGATCGTTCCTCTGTACTCAGGTTTGGTGAGACCTAACCTCAAGTACTGTGTCCAGTTTTGGGCCCCTCACTACAAGAGGGACACTGAGGTGCTGGAGAGGGTGCAGAGGTGGTCTACCAAGCTGGTAAAGGATTTGGAGCATGTATTGTATGAGGAACAGCTGAGGGATCTGCAGCTGTTTAGCCTAGAGGAGATTGAGGGGAGACCTTATAGCTCTCTACAGCTACCTAAAAGGAGGCTGTAGCGAGGTGCGGGTTGGTCTGTTAGTGGCGAGTGATAGGACAAGGGGAAATGGCCTTAAGTTGGATATTAGGAAGAATTTCTTTACTGAGAGGGTTATCAGGCATTGGAACAGCCTGCCCAGGGTAATGGTTGAGTCGCCATCCCTGGAGGTCTTTGAGAGATGGGTAGATTTTATGCTGACGGACTCGGTTTAGTGGTGTTCGTAGGGCTAGGGCATGGACTCAATGATCTTGAAGGTCTCTTCCAACGAAAACTGCTCTATGATTCTATGGTTCTATGATTCTATAACACCATTTCCAAACCTTCCAATGTACTATGGCCCAAAGGAAAATTATATCTCAAGAAGATGATTAAGTATGATGTATTGAGAGCAAATACGTTTCTTTTCAAGGTTATATAAAAGTTTGTTGAGCTATAACCCTCTTCATTTATTCAATTCATTTATTCAATACTTCATTTATTCAATACTTTTTGGGGTTTTATTAAGAAACTGCACAACCTTCTACTGTATGGTCTCACTGGACTTTTTACTCATTTGAAATATGAATAATTAAAGTTACTATCCAAAGCACAAATATCCAGCTTCATGTAAGTACTGATGGAGATACTGGTAATGGAACAAATGTAACTAAATTTTCTTATTTTTTTGTGAGTATTGCTCATTGAAAAAATTATTCAAAAAATTTTACAATCTTGTGATGGTTATATCTGGTGCAGTATTGACCATCTCTATAAATAACAGAGATAATTGAATATATTGTAAAAATATTTTGTACAAACAGTTACAACACAGAAACAAAATGGAAAGTCATATATTTTACAAGTTCCTCTCTGAGAAAGTCAAGACAAGATGGATTGATGTAGCAAGATGCAAGCTTTTCTCTTGGAATCAATTCTATTTTTTTAAGATAAATGGTGAAAATGCTGTACAAAGTGCTGAGGAAAAAGGGATGTCAACTATTTTCCTGAAGCAGTCTGTCACTACATTTTTTTAAGCTTGGAGATTCCTCTAGCTACAGCTGCCAAGGTAGAAGTTATCTTGACAGTCAGGCTTTCAGTCTTTACAAAAAAAGAAGATTTTATCAGTAATATTTGTCAGTGAGACAGAGAAAGCTCATCTGTTTGAGAGAGGAATCAGTTACCCTCACTCAGGGTCAACTAAACTTTAGAATTTGCCTTGTAGCTAAAGGTCTAAACCTAATTTACTGAAAGCTTTTTATCAAATTTTGGAGTATGAGGCTGTAATAACTTCTTGTATTTTGATCTCTTATGTTAAACAAGTAGATGCTCACCACTGTCTGGCTTTTCAATGCTCCTGGGGTTCCTGCTTACAGTGAAGTATTGGTAGCTTAGTTATTTCTAAATATATTTCCATACATTCAGTCTAAATAAGAGTTACTACCATAAGTAGGGTTTCTGTTAACCTCTCAGCTTTGTCAGTTTGGTTTGTTCTGTAAGTGTCTGTTATGTTTGCAGTGACTGCTGCTAAAGGTTGAGGAATTGTTAGAAAGGGATTGATGTAGAGAGATATATCATCTCAACTTCCAGTTTCATTCTTGCTGTCTACATAAAAAAAGTTGATCAAGGAGAAAGTCTGGATGTGAGACGGACATTTTCAGCTGTGACCACAGTAAACCAAACAAGAAAATACGTGTGATGTTCTGCTCAGTGTTTAAAAAATATTGTGCTTGAACTTTTACTTCCAGATTGGACCATAGCATTGTCTATCCTCAAAACCGATGACATAGGCTTTCCCTTGTTGCAATGGTTAGTAATAACATGCCTCAAGTTTGACTTTGACCCTTTGTAGGGGCTTGAAACTTTTCAGCTGATGTTTATTTTTCTGAAGAGATTGCTTACAATGAATTTGGTGCTGCAGAGTGCTAACTACATTTCTTCTCTCCAGGAAAACAATTACAAGAATGTGTAAATTAGAAGGCAATTATTTCCATTAAGGTCTGTGCACTTAAAAATTGGCTGAATGAACTATGCTTAAACTTGCACAAAACTTTAAAGTTAAAATAGCATCAGAGTAATTAGAGCTTGGCAGAGTCAAATATATGGTTAGCCATTAGACCGAATTTATGGTGTTGTCTTGGGTTTATCTTGAAAACTATCAGTGTTAAAGGTGACAGATATAAAGTGAACGTCAGTGAAAACAACTCGGAAAATACTTTTCATTAGCATATGGTGTCACTGTGTTGCAGCACAAAAAAATTAGGGCAGATTGCAAGACACATTGATTATAAAAAAACCTCTTACATAAACTAGGTCTTCTGTTCCTTCTAGTGTACCGAGAAATGTTCATTAGTCATCATTATAAAATCAACCTTTCCCAGCAATTACCACAGATACATGGATACTGCAGTTATTTCATGGACATACAAAGGCCTTTGCTAGGCAAACCATATATTCTGTTGCTGAGTTGAAAAACATAAATAAATCCTGCCAACTTCTGAGAACTTGGCTATGCTAGAGATGAGGTGGTGGCTGCATTGTGGTGGAGATTTATGGATCTCCAACAAACCATGTTAAAAATGTGCTAAATCCATATGCAGAGTTAGAGTCGCTCTGCCACAATAAAAATGAATTTAGGCAATGGTATTGTTGTAAGCTAGTGTTGTGCTGTTACTGGTACAGAAATGGCATTTAACTCATAGATGATTCATCCTATTAGGAAATGTAATAAAATATTCAGATTCTGTACAGGTATATTCTGTGGGGCTGGAAGAAGAGGAAGAAGTGCTCCAGAATAGTTCCTGGTTGTTTTATGAGCCACTCTGATAGCCTAAGTAGTGCTTAGAAAGAAGTATTATCACCTGTGGAAAAGCATGAGAGATTACTAGGCGTTCCTGAAGTGCTATTGTGTCATGAGCTCTTCCACATGACAATAAGCACTTCTAGGAACATAAAAATGTGCTTTGATATCAGTATTTAATTAGTAGTGTTGGCTTTTTGCAATATTTTCTGTTCATCTGCCTATCAGAAAAATCATAGTAATATATTAAAAAATTTCAGATTGTTCACCATAAGGATTTGCAGGTCACATCTGCTTTTCAAACTTGTTAAATCTGTCTTTCACTGAGCATCAATTATATCTCTTACTCTATTTCAATGAAAAATAAATGTCAATGTAAAGTATTTTCAATAACTTCTCTGATTCTCTGGAAAACACATTTTCTTCAACAGTCTGTTATTAATCTTAATACCTATTAGGTTCAGGACTTCTTGATACTAGCATACACAAAGATGCATTAATACAGAATTTGTCACCTCTACTTGGATACGTTGTGTCGCTTCCCCTGTTGGGTTGATTTTGTTGTTTATTCTTACATTTATCCATAAATTTCAACAATCCTTCATACTAAAACGCTGACATAAAGCTTCCCCTCTCCCCCCGTTCTGTAACATGAGATAAATCCTCTGAAACTCCCTGAGTAAAAATTTGAGATAAAGTTATTGATAAAGCCTTGTATGTTCCTCCATTTCTGGCAGAGAAATTTCTTCCCTTTTCTACCAGCTTTCTGTTTCCATCTAAAAATATTTTACCAAGGTTCTTGCTTTAGGTCATCTCTTTTAAACTTCAAGATGTCTGATATCTTCTTGACATCCTTCAATCCACTAGAAACTGTGGTCTGTGTTACTGTTCCTTCCTTTTTATCTCTGGTAGTTATGGAGGAGAGTTTTACAGATTTACAGCCTTCTCAGATACTGCTGTATTAATTAGGACTTTTTCTGTGGCTGCTGAGAAACCTGCAGCTGCTGTCTTTTAATTTCTTCATAAATTTCTGAACACTTGCTTTAAAAACTCTCTATCATTTCTTTTTATGTCTGTGAACTATTTCGTTTTTGTTCTATCTTGATCTAATAGGAATTGTCGTTTCCAATTTCCCTTCTTCATCTCATGCCAACAGTGTTGTCTGCTGTCAGATCAGCAGAATTATTTTTTACTGTCTTTAGATGGTATGATGGTTTTTATTTTTGCTTGGGAATTTTTGGTGCTGGAATAGGAGTGAAGGTATATTAGACTCACATAGATTCGAACACCCTGTTAAATTGCTGAGGATGTACACCAGGTTCCAAGGCATGGTAGAAACAGAACAAGATGCAGATTTGTACTATACCCTTCTCCCAAGAAGAAAATTGCAAATATCCTCTCTTACTTTCTTTACGAAGCTTTGCGTGCAATTGTGTGTGCTACTTGGGACTTTAATATATCTACCAAGTTAGCTGCATTCCTCAGTAAAATGCAATTATAGAGGTTTTTCTTTGATTTTCTTTGATTTTTAATTCTTCTGTCTTTCATTCTGAGATCATCACTGGTTTTATTAGTATTTCTGTTCACTGGCAGGTGACCACTGACTTAATCTCTGCAATCCTTGCTTTAAAAAGATAGGCACAGTAGAAAAATGGAATGTGGTTTATTGTTCTTATGCATATGTATTATAAGACACAAGAAGTTACAAATCACCAAGATCACTTTCAAAGTCCATGACAATGTAAGCAATTCAACCTTTGTTTCCTGCTGCTTGGCGTACCAGTTCCTACTGGTCAAAGAAGCAATCAGGAATATTCTATATTAGTATAATTTCTGGTAATCCTATTATGCTTATCTCCACGCAGTCAGGAAGGAGATTTTTCTTTAGATTTTTTTTATGTGTTTCCGTGGGTTAAGTCCTGATGCCAGAACAGAGCAGATTCCCTGTAATTTGTATCATCCTGCATTTACAGTTGACTGGTAAAGAGCAGAGTTCATATGAGCATGTCATGTATTAGGAGAGAAGCTTGGCAGTCACCGCCTGAAGAACACTGAATCTTTGAAGCATCCAAGTAGATGGTACAATAAAAACTGGGAGA